AAATATTATACGCCGACCAAGAAGCCGGTCTTTCGAACAGGGGCGAATTTTTCGCACGACAATAAGTGTTAAGATCAACTGCGTTCTCGTCGTAGCAATTATATATTGTAAATATTTGGAGATTTGCGCCATAATAATGTTACGTATTCTTACGATGTTATTAACTTTAATCGTAGTTAGACAATAATCTTTCTACTATTTCTTTTTAATTTTTAGACAAAATTTAGAAAGAAATAGAGCGGGACAATTGAACTACGATTGTGGTTAATTAGTAGCGAAAAAATTGCTCGTAAATAGGATGATGTGAATATAGCAGTCTAATTCCGTAATATTATCGTCATTCTCGTATTAAATGAATAATGCTTGATATTGAATGACTGTATTAATACGAGATGTGATTTTAAATATACGTACGAATCGATAAGACCTTAATTTAAGCGTTATGACAGCGATATAACAGATTTATATATTTTTATTCCCCAAAGGGAAGAATTACGAAAAATGAGAACGTAGTTATAAAGTCGTAGAGATAAAGTTCTTAGGAAATAGAATAATGATGGAATAGTGAGAACAAATTCAGATAAATAGTCAAAAATAATTGAATCGCCCATGTTCGAAAGTTAGCATAAAACTGCGTCGGGCACTTGACGAGTGTTCCCGGTCAAATAATTTAATAGAAGATAATTTGCTGACAAATTGTTGTGAAAGATTGAGATATTTGTAAGAATTTATTTATACAATTTATTTAAATTATTGATATATATATATGTATATATACGTATATTTTTTTATTGTATACAAACAATTTATTGCTTGAGATTAGAAACTTGAGAAGGAAAGAATTATGTATATATTAAAACAATTTTAGTCTTTTTTCATAAAAAGCGTATTAAAAATTTAAATAAATAAAACAGATTTTAAGAAATTTATATCTACAACAAATTTTAGATGTTTAAATGTTTTACATCTTTTAAAAATTTTTGCGTTACCCGGATAAAATAAAATATTTAATAGGTCATATCCAATATTGATACATAAGTTATATTTTAATTGTTATTTCGATTTACGCTACATGCGACTGGGTACACTCACAGTGCATTTGGCACAGTGCAAACTAAATGCATATCATAACCGACAACTGACGATCACGTTAGAAAGCGTTGAAAGTATACGTAATACGTTTATGAATATATGTTTTTATAAATTTATCAGAGTGTGCTTGTAGTTGCGTGTGTCCGAATCAAAGAATTCCATTAGTAAGACGTTTGTATAGATAGAAATATAAGAATGATAAAATGTACTCTCAAAACGTTTCTCATAGGTTTTTTTAGCTTGCATGTTAAATGATATATCTCGATAGAGAGATCATCTTTACAGCACGCGAAAGTCTTTTGTTTTTAATCGCGTAAAAGTACCGCTCGAACAAAATCCACAGCGAACTCTTTCATTTTGAAATTGTAGAACCACCATTCGAACAAAAAAATCATTCCTTTGCGATCGTGCAAAAATACAATGTACGACTCATTCTAATATCATATAGAGCAATAAGTGTACAATACATTGTTTTATATGAGAATTATATGAGTGCATTATCTTCTCCGTAGTACAATGATCAATCATAGCATTTCTTTGTTTCCCGTATTTACTGTTTATATTTGTTATTATACAAATAATATCTACCGCTTATTCATAAGCTATTTGCCAAAGCACAATGAAGATGGCGGAATATTTTTGATAATTTAATACTCATGTTAAGTTTACAATTTGTAAGTTATGTAGTATAATTTTAAAATATATAAAATAATACTTTTATGTAAAAAATTGTTATTTCAATTTTTCACCTATTCCTTTTGATATTTTACGTAATAATAACGTCAGCAATGCTATTCAATTTTTCTATTGAATAAATGTGTATAATTGATAAGAAAATTGAAAAATATAATAATGCTACATGATACAGAGTATATAAAAATTTATACATCAAATTACTATAAAAAAAAGTTTGACAAAAAAAATACTAAATTTAAATAAAATCAATTTTTTTTAAATAATAATTTGTAGAATGTGAAAATTGGTCGACTATAAGTAATAATTACACTCTACAGTTTACAGTCTAAGGGGATTCTGAACTGGAGATCAAAATTTGATGGAATGCATCCTCATCTAGAAGAAACTAAAATATTCTGTCGATAATTTCTACAATATCATTTCGATGTAAAATATTACCACAGTTGTTACATATCTCTGATTTTTTTGGTCAGAGATTATGGTTGTCATCTTTTCAGTTTACAGCTTTTTGAATGAATCTCCAAATCAGACATGTACAGAATGTTTCAAAAGTAAAGATCAATCGTTCGGGAAATAATTGAGGATCCAAAAACAAAAAGAAAAGTTGGTATGAATATAGGCCCGGAAATGCGTTGTTTTCGAGTAGTCGCCATTTTTGTTTCAAATTTCAAATTGCTCTACTTTCAAATTTTTTTTTGTTAAAATTAAAAAAAGAAACGGTCTTTATAAGTTTTATAACATAAAGTCAAATAAAAGTTATGGACTGCTTTAACACTCAGAATATACCACATAGAGATATGACAGTCCATTTAGAAAATCTTGGCAAGGATCAGGACACCATTTTTCATAACTCGATAAGTCGAAACAACATATTTCCGGATCTATATTCATATCAACTTTATTGTTTTTGAATCCCCATTTATCCCCTAAGTGATTGACCTCAACTTATGGAACACCCTATACGTATATGATACATGTATCTCATTTTCATTATTTTAACTTCAAATATCTTGTAAATGACGCATTATCGTAGACATCGTTTCAGATAAAAATTGTAGGAAGAGAGCCATAAAGATGTATGGATTTTAATCATACTAAAAAAACTATAAGAATGATTCAATCTCTTGTTTATGGATTTAGATAATATGGAAAAACTTGTGAGAATATAAAGAGAATTCAACAGGTGCTCTCCCTTTGGAATATAACAATTAGATACTGCTCGATGATCAATTGGATACGCATAATTGGATATGCATAATTACACCGTACGATTGGATATTTTTGAAAATTTTTGAAAATAATTATTCTTTAAAAATATTAAAAATATTATGGATAAATCGAGCTAATTATACAATTTTTTTATAAAACATTTCTTTATATCTTAAATAATTTTGAGATATAATAAAAAAACTTAAAATCTACTTTGTTTAAAAGGAGTGATTTCATCCCTAAAAATCATTCTTTAGTTGCAACTAATATTTTCTAAATTTATATATACTATTTTTTAATTATGTATTCTATATGTATTCTATATGTATAAAAAGTTTTATTCAAAAAATTTGACACTTTATTTTCTTGTTAGTATATATATTATTTATATCGAATGAATACAGTAATCTAAGTGGAAACAATATATTTATAAACCTTTTTTCTTTCATCATATCTCTTATTTTAATAATTTTAATTTAATAGTTTTTCACATTTATTTGAAAATTTTCTTTTATACTTGAAAATAATTTTTTATCCTACTGTAAGAATAACGAAGAAAAATGCACAAGTATCAAATATGCATTCGATTGATAAAATATACAAGGTCAGGATTTTCTTAAAATACTATTAACAGTATGACATATTGTATTGTTTGATGTGATTAAATACATTCTCATATCAGTAAGATGTACAATTTATAAAAAAAAAATAAAAATTCATAAAAATTGACTGAATGTGCACATGACAACATGATTTTTTATGTTAATGAACTCATGAATTACATTATCATTAACTACATACAATTCATGAATAGATGGTTATTTAATTAGTAATTAGTAATTAGTAAAACTTTAAATATTTATCTCAAAAAGTTTATTTAAAATAAAAGGTTCGCGATTTTTATTAGTTATTAGTAGAAATTAAATTTCTGCTGTGTTTTAACAAATTCAGAATTTGAGATGCTATATATATTATCATTAAAAATAGAATGCTATTCTTTTATTTTTTCTGAGAGACTTATAATATCTCTATGTTAAAAATTATCAATTAGTTAACATAAACTTTGTAAAATTTTTAATAAATGTAATTTGTGATTAATGATGTAACATAATTCTCATTGAATACATTCACCGTCACAGAAAAGACTAAGTTAATAACATGATGCTCAGCTTTCTCCAATTTCATAATGTGAAAAATGGAAGGATACTGACTAGATATCGAAAATTCATCTGATGACAGTGAATATATTAAGTAATCTACAATCACGGTCATAACAAAGAAATAGTCATGAATATATTTGAAACTTTTTATATTAATAATAAGCACATTAGAATTCATAAGAGAAAGGAAATAAATCATATGTAAACACATTATATATCAGGGACAACAAACGCAGATGAAGAACATCTCAGAAATAATAAAATCTGGAAAAACAGATTTTTCAGAGTCTACTGCAAATTTTATCGACATGATGTCAGCAAAAATACAACTAACAGAATATAATGGCAGATGGACTAATCTGATAAAATCTATTATTTGATAATAATTTAAATAATATATTCATTTAAATATGCTTAAAATAATGGATTTTGCTCGATTTCTGTTGAACATTTATTGTCAGATTAGATCGATAAAATATACTGGAGATACTCTGTTTGAATCAACTAGCAAACACACATAGCTAGCATGCTGCCAATATTTTTAGCTAAATCTGTTAGACTCAAATGTCAAAATTGAATGCCAGCAAAAATAACAGAATCTGTTAACCGAATACAATGCCAACTTAATCGCAGGAATCGTACAGAATCTGTTATTTTGTAACTATTTAAATAATGTATCCTCTTTAAATTATAAAACAATAATTCTACTCAGTTTTTGTCAATAATCTACTGTTAGATCTTATTAAGTTTTTACTAGCAGAAGTTTAAAACGAATACAAATGACAATACATCTGTTGCACAGGTTCTGAACCTAAGTTCTAAACCTGTTGCCAATCTGTTGGCATACTGCGGATAGATTGCTTACTGAGATCTTGTTTACTAGAATCTTTCATCTAATTGATTACATTTTCGAAATAAATAGGCATTATGCGACTTTCGTCGCACGCATTTGTCAGCATGATTATCAATTATAATCAAAGAACGTGAAGTAACGTTTCTGCTTGATTATGAACATAATAGAGCATTACAAGAGGAGAAAAACGAGACTGAATTGACGAAGAAATGACGAAGTTGCTTACCCATAACCTGAACTCTACAAATGGCACAAGTGTCACATTCCACGTCCCAGCTCCACATGGCGACGGCGTTCCATTTCTTCAGGGTAAACATCTTGTCATTCTTTTGATTGTCACCGTCATTCCGGTCTCCCGGATCCTCGGTATCACCCATGTTAAGATTTTAAGGTTAGAAACACTGGAACGAGATCTATGCGGTCTCTGATCCGATCAGCACGACAAGTAGCGACAAGTGATCGTGAGTAATTTCTATGTGCATGACGGCACATAATGTCAAAGCTCGTCGAGACTTATCGAGATATGTTAAGTATTCGATGGCCGATATTCATAATCGATTCTTATATTTACCCGATAAAAAATTTTTTATATACATAAGAACATATATAAATATATGTAAACATGTATAAATATGTAATTATATATAAAATATGTCCATATTAAATTCCTTCGTAAAATTTCTCTTTGGTATAAATAAAATAATAGTAATAATTAAGAGACATGAAAAAATAATTAAAAGGATAATTTCGCATTATTTATTTTATAAAAAGTT